TGGTTCCCATACTTGGGGAGCCGCTCTTCCTTGGGAGGGACATTAAAAAGCAGCTGGAGTTCCACATTACAAAGATTCAAGTGCAGCAAAGATGGGGACTGCCCATAAGGATCCAGGATTCCCTGAGGAGGTTCATGTCTCCTTCCCCAGAGGAGAGAGGCCGGCTCTCTCACCCTACGTGCGGGGGCATCGTGACTCCATACCGGTCACCGTTTCAGGTGCGTTCCAAGGAGGCTCGGTCTATTCAGTTGCCTCTAAGGGCCCCCAGTCAGAGGTGGCTGGAGGATGGACATGCCCTACCCACCGACAGAAGGCAGCAAATGGCCAGGGCTTACTCCTGGAAGCATCCTGGGGCAGCAGCTTCGAAAGGGAAAGAAACCCCAGACCATGGCAGCGCATCGCAGACAGGGAAGCAAAGCACAAGCTCCTCTTGTTCCACACGTCCTCCAACGCCAGTGGAAGATACCACCATGGAGATGGGCAGGAGTGAGGGCGCGGCAGGAAACCTGGCTAACCCAGATCACTGCACTCTGCCAGCAGGGGTGGATCTGACATCGCCACCTCCAGGAACCGCAATAACAGAGAAGTCGCTCGCAGCGACACTCCACATTTATAGGAGCGAGTTGAGAAAGCCCCTTACCAGTGTGAGCGGCACCGAAGGGACAGAAGAGACGCTAGAGCTGCACATGGAGAGGAAGGTTATCTCGGGAGAAGGCTCCTGCCTGAGGCCAGGGGAACAGGCAGGTGAGGGCAGGGCAGATCTTCCCAGGACCCAATGCCACCAGGTTGCCCCAGAGGCACCAGGCTCTGGGCAGCTGACAAGATCCATCCTTGACTCTCTCATTGCTGGGCAGGCTGCGCACGACCAGCAGATCAAGCACCTGATGGAAATGTTGAGCAGCTCCCGCCCCTTGGCGGGCCAGGTCTCAGTCTGCCAGCGGTGCCACAAGGCACAGCCAGGAAAGATGAAGGGTCAGAAAACTCAGGAGGAGACACAAGGATCTGCTGAGCTGCATGGTCTTCGAGACATCACGGCTCCACACGGGTTCGATGGAACTGTGAATTCAAAGCTCTCCAGGGACCAGCCACCAGTCAGAGTCTGCAAGAAATGCAATAAGGTTCGACAGAAGAGACCTGCTGGCTCTGCAGGTGCTGACTTGCCCAGAAGATCCCATGGAATTCCACAGCGATGGACTCCAGGAGACTCCTCAGCGTCATCCAACCACAACAAGATGCCAGTGGTGTGGCTCCTTCTGGAAGACAGGAGCAAGACGCAGGATGGAATGGGGAAAATGGCCCCCACCAAGCAACCACAGATGGTGTCCATTGCTACGAGTACAACAGGGCTTTCGCAAGCCGGGGAGAAAACAACTGAGAGTCCTGACGGTTCTCCTCCAAAGCCAGCAAAGGCTTCCAGAGCTCGGACACCATCCCCTACAAGGAGCAAAGTTCCAGTTCTCAAACGGATCTTAATGTGCCTCAAGAAAACCTTCTCCGAGCTAAAAAACAAAGCGAAGTCCCAAATGTCCAAGGACTCTCATTCAAGAAGACCTGATACTAAATTTACAAAGCCACCCTTTTGGAAGGCAAGGGCCTCCAAGGGTGTTTGGTAGTAGTATAAAGCCCTACCGTCAACCCCGCCCCTTGACCCTTTAAGCCCCGACCACCTGTCACCGGAAGTCCCACCCATGGGGGGGGGGGTATTACTTCCGGGGACAAGGCAGACACATGACCGGAAGCAAAGTGTGTCATGTGACCCCTATAAGAACTCCTCCTACTGCCCTCTACCAATCAGGATGGGTTTCGCTCACGTAGGCCTCCCCCGAGAGGAGATTTGACCAATATGGGGGAGTTCCAGGGCAGGGTGACCCATCCAGAAGGGGTTCATGTGACCCCTCTAAGAACTGCTCCCACCTCCCTCTACCAATCAGGAGGGGTTTCAGCCACATAGGACTGCCCCGAGAGCAGATTTGACCAATTGGGGATGTCCCGGGGCAGGGAAACCCGTCCGGAAGTGGATAATGTGACCTCTCTAAGCAGGGCCAGCTCTGGCTTTTTGCCGCCCTAGGCAAAAAAGCCACCCACCGCTCC